TATATTATTGTACGGCTATGTTGTTACTGCCATACCAAAATTTTGATCGTATTTAACCCCTCAAGCATAACCACCCAGACGAACCAAGCATAACCACCCAGATCAGTTACGTACGGAGTTTAAATACATAATACGTATAACTTTCATAATAAAATCACCTCGAAAATTCATATAATACGTACTGAGTATAAATTGTGTATTTTTACAGCAGAGACCGTCAATGTTACACATATATTAAAACTGGTGAGGGATTATATCCATCACAATTAATTTGCGATTGATCGAGAGGGATTCATTTTGGATCGGGCACTGTCCCTGTTGTAGGTGGTTAAACTGGGGAATCGCCACCCAAAAAAGTTTATGATATTGTCAATTCATCATAATAATATTTATTAAAATATTTACATAACGATAATTGATTTAGTAAGTACTGAAGTAATTTTTTTTCTTCGGTTCTTTAAAGTGAAAGCGATCGTTAAAAGCATAAAATCCAATAAACACCTATTCTAAAAATATATGTTAATTGCCGTAACCAAATTTCTACTAATAATAAACGAAGAAAGAATGAAAATCGAAATAAATTTATAAAAACTAATCAAGACAATGCAAATTGCACTAGAAAACCTTGCTGATTTTATTTTTAATGCTCTTTTGGAAGATTATAACTCTGATTATTTATTTGAATCCCGGACGCAGCAACAAAAATTATTGAAGAAAAATAGTAACAAATGCCTCAATAGTATTAATAAAAACTTTGTGCATTGCATAAATTGGAGGATTACAACTATTTTAAAAGGCAATGAAATATTCCAAATACTTTATTTTGTTAAGTTATATGAATTTCGATTTTGATTGGCCAACTTCTGTAATCAATAAAATTCTGGCCCACATTATACATAATTTTGGCCGTAATTAATTTTTAATTCATGATCAATGTTGGCCAATTCATCGTCAATGTTAGCCAATCAAAATCGAGGATCATCACGGCACATAGGTTTAAATGTGCTCTACCCTTAAATAAAACTTATTCTCGTATGATACAGATTTTCTTTAGAACTTTTCTTTGATCTATAAAACAATTTCAATTTAACTTTCCAAAAAAACCTTTAATAAAATGGGTGGAGGCGACTTGGTAAGTTAGATCGTCTCAAATCTTGTTAAGGCATCTGCGATAAATTTTAACCTTTTAAAATGTTTACAGAACATGAAAAAATCCTGGCATCCGCTCTTGATTAAAAATCAAGAACGGGTGTGGAAGGAAGAGCAGAAGGCGCAGGAAGAACAAAAAAAGCTAACTCAATTAATGAAAGAAAAGGAAGAAGAAAGACAGTTACAAGAATTAAGAAAATTACAGGAGAATGCTGGCGGAAAGTAAATATATATTTTTTATTTCCTTGGAGATTTATTTAGAGATTACAAGAATATGTTTCCTAAATATAATTTACTGATATTTCTTCAGAAAAGGGCCAGAAAGATTAGATTGGATGTACGCGGCAGGTCCTAATCAATCTAGTTCAGCCAAAGCCCAAGAATTGGAGGATTTCTTGTTGGGAAAGAAATCTGTGGATAAACTTATTGATAATGGCACAGCTTTGAGTAAGGTAAATATTTCATAACTGAAATCAATTAACTTTAATATCATTATAGATTCTTATTTTGCGTTCTATTATTACTAGCTCTCCTCCGATTCAAAGGATATCTTTATAAGTACAATGAATCCAAATGCAAACACATATAGAGATACTCAGGCTAAAATTCGTGAGGACCCCCTATTACTTATAAAGAAAACTGAACAAGCTAATATTAAAGCTATTGTTACTAATCCTCTTAAAATGAAAGAACTTAAAGAGGTATATGTTTGATTCATAATTTTACAAGGCGCATGCATATATTATCTAAAGTCATTATTACTAACATTCTTGAGCTTTGTTTTAATAGAAAACTAAAAAAAGTAAAAAAGATAAAAAAGATAAAAACAAAAAACATGATGCTGGTTCAATAAGTTCCAGTAAAAAACATGAAAAATTTTCAGATATTGAAGATGATCTAAATGATAAATATGGTCACTCAAAAAGACGATATCGGTCCCGCAGCAGGTCTATATCTCCCCCAAGAAAACGATATCGATCCCGTAGCAGGTCTATATCTCCCCCAAGAAAACGATATCGATCCCGCAGCAGGTCTATATCTCCCCCAAGAAAACGTGATAGGCGTAGCAGTCCCACGCGGCGGAATTATCATGAGAGGAATGATCATCGTCATGATAAATCTGATGACAAATCAAGACGAATGCAAAAACTACAGCAAATGATGGACGATGCAAAAAAACTTTCAGAAGAACGTAGAAAACGTGTAGATGACATCAATAGGGAAGAAAAGGAAGAAGAAATTAAGGTTACTGAAAATAAAAAGCGAACATTTGAGAACGGCGTGCATTCAGAGTACTTAAAGTATGTATCTATTTAATCCCATCATTGAATTTTCAAATTACTTTATCAGTTATCAACAAATGAAATTAAATGTTGTCAATTCACAATTAACCCCTATTTTTATTTATCAAAATAGAAATGCATACAAAGATGCATATTCATCTCATTCAAATTTTGACTTGGGCGAACGAGTACGAAGACATCGTGGTACATTACAAAAAGCTGCTGAATGAGCTATTGGTTTCAGTAACTTGTAATTAACTATTCATCATAATAACATTTGATGTAATTGGAGTTAAATAAATTATTTCCTATGAATTTAATCTATCTATCTATATTATTAAAATGTTAACGTCCGGAATAAAACAATTCTGATTGGTCACTATTGTCGTGTAACGTAATAACACAGACTTAATGCAATGTATATTTTGTGCCTCAGGTGAATGCCTGTAGATCTCCTACAAATCATTAGGCAAAAATTCCCTCCTAATTGACTTAACCCTAATCCTAAAATGCAGATGACGAGTTAGTATTAGGGTTAGGGTGAAAATCACAGACCAATTATTTCAGATCATTTAACGCCAGTCATCTGGTAGTCATTTGATGTGCGTCAGCTGCAAGGGTACATCTAGGGATGGCAAAAAAAAGTTTAAAAAAAAACATTTGTGTTTTTTATTAATGAAAAAAAAAGTCTAATTAAATAGTAATTTGATGACGCGCATCATAGGGTTAGGGTCAGTCAGTCAATTTAGTATTTAAATTGGCAATAAATTATTTACCATCCAGTTATTTTTTGAATAATTCAAATAAAAATAATTTTTTTAATTTTTTTTCGACACTACTAAAATGTACTATAAGATCAGGTATACTAAGTAAAAAATGTTTAGAACCTCTAAAAACCTTATGCTAACCTAAATTTGGGCCTTTATATCTGACCTATCTTAAGTCTGTAGGTGCATCTTATATCAGACTTTCCTAAATGCATAGTTAATGAAAGACCTCTTTAAATGCATGGCCTTGTTTGTTCCCAACTCATATGACACTTATAGATTTTTACCTCCCTAAATGCAATACCTGCCGCCCTACGGCTATGCATTTAGAGCCGTAACTGTTTTTTTTAATTAATTTATAATAAGTGCTATATAGTAAAATCAAAATTTTATTAAGTAAATCGATTATATACTGCTAAGTAAAGTTGTTCAGGAGTTCAGAATACATATACCTTGAAATTTTTATGCAATTACGATTATTTGATATTACTTTTTACAGTCACTAAATATAAATTTATAAAAACATTTTTTCAGTTGGTTGCAACTAATTCATTAAGTAAATAAATGATTTTTCAATAGTTTCTTTGCAACTAATCAATTAATTATTTAGTCGATTAGTTGCAACTGGTGAAATTAAATAATGCCTATCTAAAATCTGATTGGCTGCTATATTAAATCTATAGTTGCAACTAATCGATTAGTTGGTGTCTGAAAAGTTTAGTCGATTAGTTGTCAACTAACCAACTAATCGATTTATTTCGATTCCGATTTGTATCACTAGATCTCCTGAACAACTTTACTTAATAGAATATAATCGATTTACTATATAAAAACGTGGTGTGACATCCGAATTTTTGGCATAGAAGTATAAGTCTGTCGCTTCGCTCCAGACAATTAGAAGTAGTGTTCGAAATGGACCGTATCGGGTCGGGCTTTGCTGATCCCAAACCCAAGCCCAAAAAATATTTTTGAGGCTCCCCAAAAAAAGTCCAAAGTAAGTACTCGCATATTCTTTATTCTTTGCGTACGTACATACTGTATATATGTACGTACGTACGAACTTTAACTATTATTTTTTGTCATCGATCTTAAACATAAAAAATGCAAATAACACAGATTTATTATGACAACTAACTTCTGACCTCTAAGTAAAAGTTTTCAGAATGAAATTTTACTCATAAGACACAATTGTTAATGTTAGATATATAGGGAGGTTTTGAGATACTACGACCCATATTTTTTTGGCTGGCAGCTCGGGATTTTCTTGACATAAGGATACCTGTTAAATGATTGGTCAGGTTCTTGGAATATCAAACTAATATCAAACGATTTTTACAAAACCACTAAAATTTTCTTGTACCTGTCGTATCTGATCTGAGTGTTATTAAATTACCAAGTTATCTGGGTAATTTATCATAGCAATAATAACATTTCTACCCGATGACAATCTCTAAACTGTATTAGTTTAATTTAGCCAGCACTAAGACATATCGATATGGGCGAAAATCTGATGATTTAATGTGATTGATTAGGTAAATAAAAATAATGAAATTTTGTACCTGATTGTTCATGAGTCACGGGATTTTGATTTACTATATATACCCGATTTATTTTTATTTACATTTTTTCGACAAAAAAAAAGTTTCCCAAGAAGAGGTTTAAAGAGAAGAAAAGAAGTTTTGTTATGTAAAGTATATAAAATACATAGTGTTTTATTTGCCTTTTTTA